ACTTGAATTTTGAAAAAGAATTTTACATTTTCTAGCAATTTCAGTCTCAGGTGAGCGAGCCAGGGCCATCATGGCCCTCTTCTTTTATTCTCCCATGTTCAGAATTTAGGTTTCTTTGACAAGAAACAGATTTAAAACATGGCTAAAATACCAATTTATTGTGATAACGCAAAGAAATATGGATAGATGACAGTTTGGAGTTTATACACGTCATTGTTTGCTATGACAACAACAAATATACTTAAAATTCGGCAAAGAAATAGCAATATAGTTGGACCCATTTATACCTTAAAATACAAGAAACGGTTGAACGGGTGATGCTCCCCGAGAAGGTTTTGGACACAGGAAAGTATAAAAATGAACAAAAAGGCAAAAACTCCAAAATTAGGCAAGGCGGAGTTATGTTTTTTTTTTTTTTTTGCACTGCACTTCTATTCAATGAGATCTATCTATCTATAAAGTTCCTGATGATATCTCTTAAAGATTTCAGAGTTATGTCCCGGGTAAAATTCAAAGTGTAAATTGAACAAAGGGCAATAACTCCAAAATAATTCAAAATTTAGGCATGGAGGAGTTACGGTTCTTGTGCACTGCAACCTGCTCAAATGAAATCTATCTACATGTACCTACAAGTTCATATTGATACCTCTTATAGTTTTAGAGTTATGACCAGGACAAAGTTCAAAGATAAATAAAATAAAACAAAGGGGGCTAATTCAAAATTAGGCAATGCAGAGTTACGGTTCTAGTGCACTGTACACTCCTCAGTGAGATCTATCTACCTACAAAATTTCATGTTGATACCTCTTACAGTTTTAGAGTTATATCCCGGACAAAGTTCAAAGTTGTAAAATAAACAAAAGGGAATAATTTAAAAATTAGGCAAGGCAGAGTTACAGTTCTTCACTGCACACCTTCTCAATGAGGTCTATCTACCTACGAAGTTTCATGTTTATACCTCTTGTTGTTTCAAAGTTATGTCCCGGACAAGAAAAGTGGACGGACGGACAGACGGACGGACAAGGCGGCGACTATATGCTCCCCCGAATTTTTCGGGGAGCATAAAAATATAACTTGAAACATGAACATAATTGAGCCGCGTCACGACAAAACCAACATAATGGGCTTGCGACCAGCTTGGATCCAGACCAGCCTGCGCATCCGCGCAGTCTGATAAGGATACATGCTGTTCGCTACCCAACCCTTTTACAAGTAGAGAAACTGATAGCGAACAGCATGGATCCTGATCATACTGCGCGGATGCGCAGGCTGGTCTGGATCCATGCTGGTCGCAAACGGACTATGTTGGTTTTGTCGTGATGTGGCTCAAATGTCATAAACTTAAGGTTTGCCCTTGGTCTGTTCATCTGCTCACAAGAACTCTAATTTGTGATAACTCAAAAAGTACTGAAAATATTTTCTTAAATCTTTAAATATGAACAGATGGCAGTTTAGAGATTATGCAATACTTTATTTTTTTTTTCTGAAAATAAAATCTGGTTGCTATTGAAACAAATGACTTTAAATATTGCAAAAATACCAATATAATTAACTTCATAACCACTTTGAAATTACTTGCAATAATACACTCAACAACAAAAAAAGAAACCTGACAATATGTTATTTGATATCTGAACATATGATCGGGATAGTGTCAAACCAAAATGGGACATTATACAGCAATGTCTTACTGAAGAATTTATGCAATGTGATTTTTCTAGGGCATGCGTCAAAATGTTAAAAGACGTCCAATGTAAGGTAGGGGTCAAAAGTGATTTTGTCATTTTAAAACTTTTGCCATTAGGTTGCTTTTCAGTGGTGATAACTTAAAATTGCTTGCGAGTTTGTCTGATAATCGAAGTTCTAATGCACCCTAGTACCTGTTATGATCACCTCTGGCTCTAATGATTGCTTCAATACGTCTTCTCATCAAGTTTACGTATTCGTGAGTTATTTTCACATTTTGGCGTTACTGGGCATATACGGTGAAATTTATCTCCCTAGTCCGTGCGACAGGTCACAGATATCAACGTTTGTGTAAAAGTGCATATACATGTACGTATATATATAACAAATGTACATCAATTAGGATATTTGAGATATATATTAGAGTACATTCGTACTCTATCATATCATACCAGCTTGATGTCACGTTGTCATAAAACTCTCAAAAGTTCAAAAACTAAACCAGGACAGGACAAACCCATTACATAAAATTAGAGTTTCAAAACGGAACAGATTCACAAAGCTACACACCATTAAAAAGTGTCAAAAACTCTAATTTTAAAAAAATAAATCTATGAAGCTATGAAATCTTAGCGTATCGTGGATAGGTTTTGCTTGTTACCAGAACATTATTTTTGATTCGAGGATATTTAGTAGAACCAAAAAAAAATGATGGACCTTAATTTAAATTTTAGGAGACGACAATTTTCCCATTACGTAATGAGTTTATGAAAAGAATATTGAATTGTTTCACGAGTCATATTGGGTTTTGATAGTAGAAAGCACTTAATTATCAAAGCATTCTTAATTTTTCCGTTTTTGGATTTAAAAAAATAGATGCAAGGCTATGAGGTATATAACGTTACCTGATTAACTAACAACAACAAATTTTATATAAATTAACATAAATCTGGAATCGTGTCGCTTTGTGGTACATTGACAAATCTGTTTCAAATATCCTCTTTCTTCATTTAATGTAATTCAATGCGTTTTAAGGGTGAATCAAATCAAAACATTAAACTTGTATGATGTAAAAAGGGTAATCACTGATGTATTTACTGTAACAGTACATAGGATGTTTCAGTTTTTTTTTTCTTCTATAAATACAGGATGTATTTTCATTATGAAATTTCATACCACAAGGCAAAAATAAATCATTTTTACAGAAAAAAAACTTGAATTTTCAGTTTATTATTTCCTTTTTTGACAAAGATTTCGCCTTAAATATTGTGTTTTGGCTAAAGTTAAAAAATACGGAAATTATGCTTCGATGCAGTCATTTGAATTATATTTTTTAACATTTTCCATTTTAAAGTTTTAGCATTATTTATTACTGCTTATTTATTGCTTATTACACAACCGCAAGTCCCGATCTGTATCCTATTTTAATGTTATTTTTTTAAGCACGATCGTATATTGAAATTCGAGATATTTCATATTCTTGTCGTCCGAAAGGGCTTACATAGCCTAAATAAATTTAGTTAAACTTGAACATTCTTACGCTATTTGTTTAGTTCACTTATAATATCGCAACGTTATTTAATTTACCGAAGAGTCCAAAATGTTGTCGTCTGATGTCCGACAGGTCAAATAAAAACATAAAAGCGGGAAGACTTAATATTGGGTACCTGGTAAACAAGTCTTGCATTGACCTATTTATTTTAAGTGCTTTATTTAAAAGCATTTGTTTGCGATCGTATTCTGTCTGCGTGTGTCGGAAAACTTTTGCCAATGGTTGATGAATGATAGTTTCGGCAAAATAACCAAATAAGACAACTTAAGGGAATAAAATCACAGGTAGCCTGGACAAAAAAAATATGAACTAATCCTAATATTCCTAGTTAATATTCTTTTTTAATTTTTCAATATTTGTATAATTTAATGTTTACATTTAATATGATTTTTATATCTTTTTTAATTGACACAAACCAGAGAGGAATTTGAAACACATATACATATTTGTACTTGATTTCAATTTGACAAATATATAAACTAAATGACAGACAAATAAATACATGAGACGTTTAACATGTTCACAGCTATCCATTAACAATTACACAAGCTAAAAAAATATAATTCAAGGGAAGCTGCTCCTCCTGTATTATATCCAGTTATATTTTGCCTCTCAATAACAGCTGTTCAAATGTATTATTTATTGAAAAATTAGTGCTTAACTGCTTATGACAGCTTGTATGTACATATATGTATTCGTTCTGGACGGTTATTTAAACTAACGATATAGTGATAAAAAATAGAACAACTTTTAAATGTACATGTATGTCCCATTTTCGATTTCACATAGTAATAACACAATTTTATACGTTTTTATCTATATGTAGATAAACATATGTGTATTATTGTAACATCCATTGAACAATAGTTTAAAGTTACATATTCACGTAATTGTTGTTGTTTATAAATAACTTGTATTTCATTTGGAAATATATGAAATAAGCAGCCTATTTTCACTATTATAATTATATATAAGCGTACATGTACACATTTTGGACATGTAAGTAAATATCAGTGTTTAAATATGTCTTTAATACTCGAATTCGATAAGTTGACAGAAAAAGATAGATAGATGTGTAGTATAAAATGATATATCGGTTGCAGTTAAATGGATTTAATAACATTAAAAAGTCATTAAAGTTTATTACGTGACTTCACCAAGATTGATCCTCGGACAAATGACCTTTACTGCGTTAGTTCAATTAAAATGTGAAGATTGCAGTTATCACAAAGTTAACATGGGTTTATCAGTTTATACCGGTGTTTATGTTGTGATAAAGTAATGTATACATGTACACGTTGATAAATTGTAAAATTCAACATTTATTCCGATTATCACGAAATTGCAACTACTCTAACGTGACGTGGTTTATTACTCGGATATTAATTGTTATATTAATTTTTAACAACTTCTTAAATACAAAATGTGAAAGTGTTAAGGTATTTTGGATCGTAACAATAAGTTTTGATGTACATATAATATAGATCGACACTGCAAGAGAGTTTTTTTTTTCATTTGTGATACAATAATTCAAAATCGAATTTAAAATATGGTGGCTACTGCTAAACTAGCTTCAACTTTCATTTTGTTTGGTCTTTCTGTACTTAGTGGAGTTATTTCCTGCATTACGGTAAAATGCTTGGTGCTGAAACTTGGAACTTCAACAAAATTCACTGGTGCAATCAGTCTTCTGAATTGCTTTTCCGGTGGCGTTTTCTTCGCTACTTCCGTTTTAAGTTTACTTCCGGAAGCGCGCGAAAGCATGGAACATGCATTGGAAGGTCTTGAGTTTAGTTCAGAGTATCCTTTCACCGAACTGGCAATGTGTGTTGGATTTTTCATGATTCTAATGCTTGAGCATATTGCTCACAAGTGTTGCTCTTCTAATACGACATCTCGCCCAATTCGTCCAGACAATGACCCCAGATCAAAAGAACGAAATTCCATGTCAGAATCAGCCCGTGCAGATGTGGCAGTAAGTTACAAGATAGTGAGTGGGAAAAGATATAAAGGGCTGTATATAAAAGACCCTATACAAGTAGCAAGTGATTTAGAAGATTCTTCGTACCATGACGACATGACGTATCAAACATATGGCGCGGTGGACGAATCGGTCGACAGCCCGACAAAAAGACCTTATTCAGAAGTTAGAAATGACTCTGCAAATTCTAAAATGAAAGAAGTTGTATTTCAAGACAGTGATAGAATTCTAATAAGAAATGCAAAAGTTGCAAAAGAAGTCCATATCAAATCGACAAATGAAGCTCTTACAGAAGTCAGAGATTCCGCAGACGATAATCGTGATCCTACAAGGTCAAGGTTACGAGGTCTTGTGCTATTAATAGCATTATCTTTACACATGATTTTTGACGGTCTCGCACTTGGGCTTTTAAAAGATGATTCTAAAGTTTACGAGCTTCTAGCAGCCCTGTGTTTACACAAAGTTCTTGTATTCTTCACAATCGGGGTTCAAACTTTAGAGCTCCTTGCCTCCGTCAAGAAAACCATTTGTGTCATTGTAGTTTTCGCTTTAATGAGTCCATGTGGTGTTATAATAGGTGAAAGTATTAATCTTTCTGGCGAATCAGAAGCGAAAGATTTATCGTCTGCCATATTGCAGGGCATTGCAACCGGTACTTTTCTGTTTGTCACGTTCTTCGAGATTTTACAACGTGAGTTGGGATCCGGTGACCATGACATTTTTAAAGTGTTCACGACTATTTTCGGATTTGCGCTTATTGCTTGTACACGGTTGCTTGAACACGAAGAATAATACAAACTTACGTCTAGAAAGTTCAAATGAACCAGTTAGCTTATTTCGTTTAAGCCAATTTTCAGAGTAAAATTGATAATGTCTCATTAATATATGTAAAATTTGAATGTTCATTCCTGTTATAGTTACTTTAAAATGTGAAAAAAGGAAGCGCGATATTAACATTTTTATGAAGTACAATTTACTAATCAGTTTTTCCTTAATTTGACGAAAACAAAACTTCCAATTACGATATTTCAACATAACATTTTGTAATATAGTAACTTGGGATGTTTTAGGATAAGAGTTGACTATCCCGATTTCCTAACAAAGCTTTGAACTTTTGTTAGTTTAAACATAGTTTATTTCAAACAAGTATACACATTTACAATTTGCAAATAGAATTTTACATCACATGAAACGAATGAAAAAGGATCAGAACCGAAAGCTGATGCTTATATAGGTCCTATATTAGTTTTATTTGCTATATATTGTCAGTGTGTATATGTATGTACATGGATATGCTTGAAAGAACAATGAGTAATTGTTTAATAAAAATGAATCTTATGGTATAGTTCGTAGTTGCTTAGAAGAAGGTTTAAAAAATATGTTTTGTAAAATAATCAACTATATGAAAAAAGAGGAAAAGAAGAAGTAAGATAGCAGAGAAAAGAAGATATTTCCAGACGGTACTTTTGTTGAAATATATTGTTGTGTAACAGTGCTCAAAGAAACCTCCAAATGTAAGAATGACATTTCTCTTATGTGTGAAGATAGCATTTTGGAATGTTTCAAATTCTGGGGCCTTCATTTTCAGTTACAGCTGGTTGAGGGTTACAGAACATACGTGACAATTTTTTGTATTTAGTGCTAGTGTTTATAGTGTTACATAAATACATTATTTTTATAAAATATATTTTGTTAAAACAGTTACAATGTAACTACATGTATACTTAATTTTTTAATATATATGCATCATACATTTTGCAATTCCTCTTGTATAATGTGTAAAATACATGTAATAAAATTGAACAAATGCTTTATGTCGCGGTTAAACCACAAGATTATGTCGTATAAACTAACATTCATTTATGATTGTTTCTTTTCTTTAGCAAAAAAAAAATAGAATCTAAATAAATTCGCTTGTGTATTAAAATAATTTACTTTTCGAGTACTGTTTCTTGATTTGCCAGCACTTGTATGTACATGTATGTAAAACCTTGGTTTGTAGCAATTTATGCTCAGTCATACGAGAGACCGGTAGGGCCATTTCACATTTCAACTTCATGAATTCACGATTTCAATATTCAACTTCATGAATTTAACTTCGTGAATTCACTATTTCAAATTTACGAATTCACGATTCCAACTTAGAGAATTCACGATTGTAACTTCATGAAGTACGAATCGTGGGTTCGTGAAGTTGCAATGCGATTCATGAAGATGAAATCTGGAATTCATGAAGTTTAAATGTCCCCACCGGTCTTTCATACAATCCTGCTGACTGGTTTAAATGTATTCTAATCACGAGCTTGATTGAAATGTTTATATAATGGGGGCATGGGACATATAAGTATATAGTATTTATTAATAATACATGTTAAAATTGTATCATAGTTTGGGGACATTTCTGTTGAAAATGTGAGAGTTAAATCGTATGTAATTTGCATGCACAGTGCGTTAACTGGAATGCAGGTATTAGTTACCCGCACTTTAGAGCATGCCCACTGATTGGCCATTGACTCAACCATTTTGAGAGTTGAAACCTTTGGTGTTATAAAGATAAAACACACACACAATTTTATGAGACGTGTTACATGCTGACTTGAATATGACGGGCCAAATCCCGGCAGAAACCCATATTGAATTCACCAGAGCACAGTTCAGCCACTGCATTGTTTCTGGGCAGGCTGTCAATTGCTTTACCAATACTAGCTGCCCTCAGTACTAGTACTTCGTGCGGCGCAATTTCGCCCTGTCGCTTGGCATTTAAGCCATTTCTTCGATTTGAGTAGAGCGATAATGTGACATCGCGACAACACGCTGCGAGACCACGCGCAATTTGGCGTGCATCGTTAGACAGGGCGACGAGATGAAAGTCCGACAACGCGCCGTTTGGCGCTTTGTTGTGCTGTCGCTAGCGACAACAGGAACCACAAAAGTGCTCCAAATCAGCCACCATATATTTCTGTAGAAAATATGTCAGAGTTAAATCATATACATACATGTACATACAAAGTGCGTTAACTTGGGTGCAGGTATTACTTACCCACACTCCAGAGCGTGCCCATCAAAGGGCTAAATGTCTCTGCAGTTTACTTATTGTGACGACAGAGAAAGGGATAGCGATAGAAATATCATATTCAGATACTCGTTCATTGGTTACTTTTTTCTGGGATTTCATATTTTGACAACAAGGAACGTGAAAATGGCTACGATCTGGTGTCCTAATTGTCTTAAAAATCTCTCTTAAAGTACAATGTCTATAGCTAAGATATTTGGCATGTAGAATCACCTTGTGGTCCCCTTTAAAAGTAGAGAGTAGTATTTATCATGTCCCTTAGGTCACTTTGTATATAGGCTTGTATATGAAAATTCATTCATTTTTTTTTTCCAGAAAACTGCAATGCTTAGAGCTAAGATATTTGTCATTAAGCATTTTTCGAAGAAGATATCTACAAAATGTACAAATATTTTGAAATTAGATAGCTAAGATATTATTTTGTACCCATTTCTAACATGATATAAACGGTTCACGGAAAAATGTAAGAGATCTGAATGCAAGAAGTATTGTTACACAGAACTTAAATATCTGAGCATTAAATAACTATCATGTAAATTTTATTTTAGAACTATCCTTTACATTTTATTGCATAATGGCAAGAACTATCCTTTACATTTAGGTTATCTTAGAATAGTAAAAATTATCCTACTTCTTTTAGAATGGCCAATGAGATTCCAAGATTTCAATCTGGAATTTTGAAATGACCAATTAAAACTCTTTTTATATTCAGTTCTTCCCTATAAATTTTATAGGACGTCAATACCGGCCGTCCGACCAGTTTAACATACGGACACTTTAGACTTTCCACCCCCCTCCCCCACCCAACCAAAAAAGAAATGCCGAGTGAAATTTAAAAATGTTGGAGCATCACACTAAATACTACGGAAGAGCATTAGTGCCAGGTGTATGTTTTTTATTAACTCGAAATTTCGAGTTACTAACTCGAAATTTCGACTAACTAACTCGAAATTTCGACTTACTAACTCGAAATTTCGAGTTACTTATCTCGAAATTTCGATTTAATAACTCGAAATTTCGACTTACTAACTCGAAATTTCGACTAACTAACTCGAAATTTCGACTTACTAACTCGAAATTTCGAGTAACTTATCTCGAAATTTCGACTTACTAACTCGAAATTTCGACTTAGTAACTCGAAATTTCGACATACTTACTCGAAATTTTGACTTAGTAACTCGAAATTTCGACTTAGTAACTCGAAATTTCGACATACTTACTCGAAATTTTGACTTAGTTACTCGAAATTTCGACTTAGTAACTCGAAATTTCGACTTACATTGCACGACTTTCATTGGTTGCCGGTGAAAGCAAGGATTGAATTCAAGATACTTTCTTTCGTGTGTAGTTGTTGCACATTGACAGAGCACATTTAACATTTTTTTAACAGAACAATTTTATAGGGTCAAATTGTCCACACATACTGAACAGATCCTTCGCTTTTTTGTGGAGGGGGGGGGGATGTAAAATCACACTTTCCACATTTCCGTGTTAACAGGGTGTTTCTTTTTCTTAAGCACACATACAACCATCATATGGAGAAACAACAAGTCCAAAACCCACCCTATTGTAAACTGTGCAATATCATGTGTTAAATAAGTTTTTTTTTTAAAAAATGACGTGTATAGGCCAGTTAGTCTGTCACGTTTCTTTATACTAATAATGTTTTTGTAACATTATTCATTATTTACTAATACTTTGATTCATATTGTGTTGATAAAAGTGATACTTGTTATAATATATATGTTGGGAACAATATAAAAGCATCCGATTTTACAAGAAATATAGTCAGTCCAACAATTTTGACAAAGGCCTCAGCACGCTCTATTTTGGCCACGCCGCGATACTTTCCTCAGATGTCCCACACGTAAAGTATAGGATCGGTTTTTTTACAGTGATGAGGAGAATATGATTAGTGAAAAGATATGTTCGAACAGATGGGATACAATACAACGTATGAAGAACACCTGAACGTACGAATTAAAGGAAGCCTTGTATTTTTTATGTCGGGTGTGTACATGCCATTACTAAGTTTAAGTTAAATTTCAATAGTTTTTGTCCAGGCACCAAGTTCTCCATCTCCATCGTTCAAAGGCACTGCCTACTATATCTTATACCATCTAAAATAACTTTGGCCATTCTTGTAATGTTAATAAGTCGAAATTTCGAGTTACTAAGTCGAAATTTCGAGATAATTAACTCGAAATTTCGAGTTAGTAAGTCGAAATTTCGAGTTAGTAAGTCGAAATTTCGGGTTAGTAAGTCGAAATTTCGAGTTAGTAAGTCGAAATTTCGAGTTAGTAAGTCGAAATTTCGAGATAAGTAACTCGAAATTTCAAGTTACTAAGTCGAAATTTCGAGTTACTAACTTGAAATTTCGGGTTAGTAAGTCGAAATTTCGAGTTAGTAAGTCGAAATTTCGAGTAAGTAAGTCGAAATTTCGAGTAAGTAAGTCGAAATTTCGAGATAAGTAACTCGAAATTTCGGGTTAGTAAGTCGAAATTTCGAGTTAGTAAGTCGAAATTAGTAGTAACTCGAAATTTCGAGTTAGTAACTCGAAATTTCGAGTTAATAAAAAACATACACCTGGCACTAATGCTCTTCCGTAAAATACTGTATTCCTTGAAATGCTTAAAAGTCGCCTTTTCACCCAACAAAATAAATTTTAAAACTCTAACACCGATTTATATTCGATAATGAATGAAAATTGTAAGAATCG